CTTACATGCCGGCGGTGGCGAAGGACACCTCAGCGTTATCTCCAGCACAGCGATACGATCAGCAGTGTGATGTAAAGAAGAAACAAATGGGTAACTCCGTTCCAACTCGTGCACCTGCAGCAGAACGCGCTCATATTGAATTTTATGTGCTTTAACGCCGGTCATGTGTTTGTAAAACCACACTGAGGAAGGATTTACCGACCTCCTTCCGAGAGCGTTTGCACGTGTGGCACAAGGGCAGCTACGGCGAAGAGCGGAGCCCTCGCCGGCGGCTGGGGCTGCGGGAGGCGAAGGAGAGCCCGGGCCTTGCCCCAGCTCTTCACTCTCCAGCGGACTTTCGGCAGCTCCGGGGGGAGCCACAGGCTTGGCAAGGACAGAGACCTCCACTTGAACATGGGCGATGGTCCAGCACGGCATTGGCTTCCGAGCGGGGTCTCCCACCCTGTAGAAAGGTTGATTACCTGCGGCTTGGCACCCTGCTAGCAGTGCAGGTAGAGCTTTTGGCCGGTCTGACCGCCTGAAGCGCAGCCCACAGCCAGCCTCTGAGACACTGCAGCCTTGGGAAGTTCTTGGTGGGGCTCGGAGGATGGGAAGTCGGAGGGCAGCATAGATTTGCTCTTTTCCTTTTTTTTGGCTTGATACTGTCATGCCGTTAGAGGATTTGGGGCCACAGGGTAAGTCTCCCACTGTGGACAATGCACTCTAGAACATGAATTTCGTACCTTCTTCCACTTTTCACCTCTTCGTGTCCTGCAGTTCAAGTGAAAAATATTATTTTGTTTAATGCAAAACAAATGTATAGCCAAGATGGAGGTGGGCCAAAATATCATCTTAAGAAATCTCATATTGGCTGCCTGGGGCAGGTTTTTGACTCCTCTCCTTCCTTCCCTTCCCCTTCCGGTGACACCAGCCCTTTTCCTGGCCCTTCAGGCAGCCATGGCCTGGGACCTTTCTCCTCAGCAGCTCCTGCCCCTACAAATAGCTGTACTTCTCCGCGTCCTATTCCTTCCAGGCTGTTTTGCAGCCTATTAGAAATGCATCTTGAGTCTTTTCCCGACGTTAAGTGCTGTTCCGCCACCAATTCTGCAAAGACACAATTTGTATGAAAGTTGCTGGAAAAATACCCCTCATTTTCAGCTGATGTATTTAACGCAGCATGGTGTGAAATATTTAGTAGGTGGTGCATCGTTTTAGAGAAATGCGTCAAAGGCTTGCCTTCGAAAAAGGCAGTTTCAAAACTCAGTGTGCTTTACGTGGAAATGGCTGATCTGTCTCCTGGTCTGCATAGCTCCGAGCTGATAATCTGCATCTCCATCTTTGGGTCTTCTGTTTACCAGTGCTCTGTGGTTTTTTTATTTGCAATTTCATGGGAACATTTATTTGCTGATATTCGTGAGAGAGGGAGAAGAGACCTGAGTAACTGATAGGAACTACTGAAATGCCTTTGTCCAAAGTCATAGCCAGCTATATATCTAAATTTCACACGTGAAGGAAAGACCAAGTAGGAGAAAAGACATTCTTTATGCTGTTTTCCTCCCCAGCCAATAAATATTTAAATGATGTTGATGACCTCATTTTTCTTTCTAATTCAGAAAAAAAGGTATGCTGGTATCTGGAAGAGAGACTCGGGGAATTTCCTACAGTGCTTTATTGCTTAGCCTTCAAGCAATGAGCTGCGGAGATGTTTCTAAGTCAAGGCAGTCTTCTTGTTCAGCTGTTAACAGTCTGTTTGCTTACTTGTTGCTGATTTCATTTATTGAGTTAGTTAAAATCAAAGCAAGTTTGATTTTTATTTAAAGGCAAAAAGTTCATAACCTGGAAAGAAGGGGTTGCCTACGGAGGGATTTGTGCTCCGTGTTGCTCCCCCTGCCCCTTTTCTGGCCGGCTGTAAGAGCAGAGCTGGCTCTTTAGGAAAAGGTGCTCCTGGTTTTCTCTGTTTGCCCTCACGGCCAGCATCATCTTATTTCAAAGCAGGCGAGGAAAAAAATTGAAAGATGCTCAGATCCAAATCAGAGCAAGGAAATACTGCCTCTGACTGAATCCAAGCGTGGAGCCTAATTAATTCTGTCCGAAGGAAACCGGGCCCAGTGCAGCGTGCTGAATAGGTGCCTCTTCCTCGCAGCCGCTTGATCTGTGGCTGGAACAGGGGAACGTGCAGGGCGGCAATGACAGTGATTACCAGGAAGCGTTTGTAAATCTTGCCCTGGAGAAACCGAAAAGGGTGTGTTTGCCCTTCTCAGAGGAAGACTGCTGTTTGATGTTCTGCTCTTATCTCTGGCACTTGCTAAGCAAGAGCTTGGGAACTGGCAGCTGACAGTGGGTGCATGGGGAAGGAAGAAGAAGATGACCCGTGTCTGAGGCCAGATACGCGTCCCTCTGCTCGGTCTCCAGAACGAAGGGGGCCGGACACCCCCCCGGCCCTTGGAGCCCCGTGGCATCACGGCCAGAAAGCAGAGTCAGGATGGGCAAAATTCACGGCCACAGCGGGCTTTGGGCGAGGATGAAGGCCTGAGTTAAAACGCAGCTCCTGAGCAAAAGGGGAGACCCCAAGCAGGGGAGACCCCAAGGAGGCTTCTCGCTGCTCTTTCCCCAACAGTTTGACCCTGGGTTACAGCAGGATGCCTATTTATGTACGGATATGACTACGTCTATGGAAAGGCTGCTGATTTTCAAAGATAACTGGCTTAACTAACAGAGAGAGGACAAAACTCGTGCTGCTATCCACACAGCCCACTTCCTAGGATGCAGCAGGATTGCACGGGAATGCGATGGCCTGCCGGGCCCGCGAGGCCAGACTGCCCGTTGGCATGCACTGCTCTCCATCACTGCGATAAAAAGTTAAATTTTGACTAGAGAACAAGGAGTAACATTCTCAGAGCCCTTCTGCTTCATTTGGGAAACTTAACACCCCTGACTTTTCATTAATTTATTTAAAGTTCTTTGGAAAATTTTACGCTATACCTCTCAGGATTCTTAGCATGGTTTTTGTGATGGTTTTATAGATAGTTCCCATTGAACTATTCCTGTTGCCCTCTCTAGGGAAATACACCAACAGGAAGCTGACTTGTATTTGCAGGTGAGGATGTGAGCCTAAAGTCCGACCAGTTACAAAGCCAAGCAGGAATTAGTCACGCAGTTGTTTGTGAAATTACTCTCAACTAGGAAATAGCAGCAGAAAAAAATAGTATCTATTTCCAAGTAAGTGAATCACATTGAAATGTTTTGTTTGTATACAAGAAACACATCACCTGCAAAATTTCCCAAGGCGTGAATTGATCTGCCAGTTATCAGGAAGGAGCCTGCTGCCGTCCCGACACACTTTGCTGCCCGTGAGTGGGTGAGGCGTGGACCTCAGTTCAGATCTGTCCAGAACTGGTAAACTCTGCTCAAAAACAGTCCGAGGTGTAAGACTTCGCACAGAGTATACCAAGACTCTGCCTTCTTCAGATCTGGGGGTCGATACCCAGAGGCTTCTGTAAATATTTTTAAAATTTGTGCCAGTTTTGCATGTGGATCCTCTTGCTGATTAAAATGAGAATTCAGAAGTAGCGGTGTCTATATTTGCAATAGCAGGGGTAGGGAGAAAACCAAATTGTTTTCCTCAGGTTGGCACAGCCACTGCTCCAACGCTTGTGTCGTGCTCCAGCCTGTCTCCTGCATCCCAGACTCTCTCCGAGCACCCGTGGAATCAGAATCGATTGCTGCATTCTGGACAGAAACACAGCAAATGTGGGGGTTGCCTTATGTGCCCTTGAAAAACAAAGCAGCAAATCTCCAGCAAGGAGCTCCTGTTCCCCTTGGCTTGGCGAAAGGAGACCGGCCCGACTGCCGTCGGCGAACGCCAGGAGAGTTTGGGGGGGCTCCGGCGTGGACGGCTGCTGCTGCTGCAGCAGAGCCGGCTGCACCATGGGAGCACCCTTTGTTTTAGTGAGAAGGTGCTATTTGAAGTTTATTAAAAAATGTTGTAGCATGCTGTTTCCCACGTGGATTATGAGGGTCCTTCCTTATTACAGACTCCCATTTTTTGTTTCCTAAAAGTTAACGACCCTGTTGTTATGAGAGCTGTGATTTTAAAATCGCTTCTCCTGTACAGGGCAGGTGCACCTGGAGGCTTCTGTCTTTTTCCTCACCCTGATTTTGGGGCGATTCCTTTTTCTAGCAGTAGGTCAAGGCAAGTGGACGGTAGTAGGTCTCAAGCAGTTGTGGAGGAAGAGATTTTTCTCCGATAACAGAGAATGTAACGAGAATGTGTCAAACCATTAAGAATGAAATATTATTGAAATAACGATTCTCCTTCCACATTACTCTTCTCCTCTCCAGGCTTTTGAACGAAGATTAAATATGGCTTTCTCTGTTTTCTGAAGTGGGCAAGGAACACAAAGGCCTTGTCTTCGCTCTGAAATAGAGGTAAACTTCTAACTTGAGCTACCAGCGCTGGTGGAAAGCCCAGCAGAGATAAGGCACTTTGCATACTCTGCTTATCACTAGCAGCAGGGAATGAGGAAAGGGTGAGAACAGGATGAGCATTTCTCTGACTAATCTGCGAGGAATACAACGGTCTTGTCTCTGGTCAGACTTTACCGTATTTAGCATGAAGTAAGAATAGAATTTGCCCAAGTGAAAACGGTATTTCTACACGTTCACCGGTGCTTGCTTCGCTTGCCCTTGGCTGTACAGGTTGTGTGGCTTGGGTTTTCCCCGGACAAATTTCAGAGCGCGCAGCCTCCTCGAGGCTTGAAACCCCTTGGAAACTCAACCCGGCCTCCGTCTCCCCGCACATCCCGTAGCCGGATCCCAGCACGTGCACACGCTGCCTTGGCCTCGTAGCACGCAACGCAACTCGGCAAACACCATATTTTCTTTTTTGCTGTAGGAAATGGTGCGGGGAACTTTCTCTTGCAGCAGCCGAAGTTACATTCTCAACCTTCCTGGAAGTTTTCTTCTTGAATCATGGTTTTGTCCTTTACGTAACCTTTAGAAAAACACCACTTTTACGAGGAGCTATGAAATTCTTGCCACAAGTGCTTGATAAACAGGGGGCTGTCCATCGTGCCCTGGGTGATGAGCAAACTTCTGATGAAAGGCTGCTTTCTCCACGGGCCGGGCGGCTGGATCCCAAGGGCATTTCAACGAAAATTTGCTCCGTTGTCTTCACCGCTCTCAGCCGGCCGGTGCGCGGTTTGAGGGAGTTTGAAGGGATGCTGTGGTTTTATAGAAGCCGTCTGGCTGCGGCCATGCTGTCAGTGACCCGGGGGATGACGGGACCCCCGTGCCCTGAGCCCCAGTCTCCTGCATGGGGGCAATAACCAAGGATGCCCCAGGCACGAGTCCATCGCAGGAGACTGCAGATGAAGAGGAGTGGGACTCCTGCTGAGGTGGGAGGGGCGCAGAGGAAAGCTGAGCAGAGAGAAGAACGAAAGGGCCCACGGAAGCCAGCCCCACTCTGTACGCTGGCTCGCCACGCCACAGCGGTCGCTGCAGTTTCCTGGTGGAAAAGGCAGATCCAGGGCTTGCAGAAAACGAGCAGTTTCTTTCCCCAGCGCCGCTGCAGGAGGCCTTGCTGCTGGGGACTGTACCGAAGCTCAGGTAGCAGCACTGCAAAATGCCTTTTCCATCCCTCCAGCAGACGCTGCCTTACCAGCCCAAGCTGGTGGAGAACGGCGAAACACACTCGGCCTTAATGGATCTTTGGTCTCTGTAGCAGGAGAAAAGTGTCACCAGCTGCAGCAATTCACAGTGATCCAAATGAAAACTCGGCTTGCAGGTATTGCAGAATGGGTTCCTGGTGCCGTGCACACACTGCACGTTCATCCTGCGCACAGCCCCGGTGCAGACACCGACCATCCAGCTCCCGCTGTCGGACAAGCAGTGCCAGCTCTCCCTGCTCGAGCCATAACTCTCCATCATGAAGTAAATCTGCCTCCGAGGAGTTAGTGACCCCCCTGTGCTGAAGATGGACGTGCATCTTCTGAAGCTCCTGCAACGCAGCCGCTTCAGGGGTGGAGAAGTGCTCAGAGTATTTCTGAATCGGATTCATCTGGCCACTGGAAAATGCCTTGGTGCCTGCAGCAGCTGCTGAAATTAGGAGGAAATGAAATTCCTTCTTCTGGATTAGGTATTGCAAAATCTCTCATCTCAACCTGCATGAAAGTTCAACTGCTTCTTTTGTTCATGAGGTGAAGGATATTTTTGTCAACTCCAGTGTCTGATTTTTTTTTCTTAATAAGGGTCTGTTTCCTATTTATTGGAAGTCTAAAACTTCTTTGTACTCTTAAAATCAGCTTTTAGCAGCTGGGCTTTTCATTAAAGGTGCTGATAGGTCATGTGTTATCACAGCTGACCTTCAAGAACAGTGGAGGGCAGGTTTTGATCCTGAAGGTGATGGTGGGAAAAGATGAAGCTCTCCTGCTGGCGTCATTCCAGGCGAGGGCCCCCCTTGGCTGCGCCCGCGGCTCTTTTCCATATCTCTTTCTTGCAGCTGTAGTATCTCAAGGGTGGTTTGAGGACTTTTTCTCTCTTTGCCTTTTCCTGGTGAGTTTGCAAGAGGTCAGTGAGTCCAACCTCCAGCAGTTCCTCCTCTTCTGGGCATAGAAAGAGAAATCCCTGATTTAGAGACCCACTCATCTGCAGCCATGAGATGCACAGGTCTCTAACCAGCCCAGACCGGGCTTCCGTACGTGGTAAAGGATGTTCAGAACACAGCTTCTTCTCTTTTTCACGTGTGTGCATTTGTGACACAGCCATTGCTTGTTAGACTTAGGAAATGGCTGTGCTGGAGCTGCTGAAGAGCTGCCTTTGGCTGCCCCGAGCGTCCGCACGCCCAGACTCTCCTTCTGGGTCTCGTCGGAGGCAGGGAAGGACTAGGCCGGGCACTTGTCCCACCTGGGCTGCTCTGCTCTGGTTAAACGCACCGGATTAAGTTATTCCCCATCCATACTGAAATGAAAAGAAAACCAGACCCTCAGTGTTTATTTGTCGTGGAGATTTTACACTCGGTGGAGGGAAGCTGGTCCTGTAATGGAAATCGCGGAGGGGGCAGCCCTGGAGCTGCTGGATGCCTTGCCCTGTCCTTCAGACCACGGGCTCTTCGGGGCAGGGACTCTGCCGTGGGTCCCCGTCCCTGTCTGGGGCGCAAACGGGATTTCACAGGCCCAGCGCTGCTGTTTGGGGCAGTGCTGATGTTCCTGGAGGAGCAGGAGGCAGAGCTCCACCTCTGCGAGGTGTGCGGGGCTTTCTTGCAGCAGGCTGCAAAACCACGGGGGTTATTGTGGGGGAAAACTGGTTTCCTCGGTCTTGCCAAAGCTGGACAGTCCGCTCCCATACATTATTTGTTAATTTATGATCTCATTTGTACCTTGTAAAACGACTGAAGAAAAAAGTAACTGCTGTCCTTAAAACCTGTGTAAATAAATACTGGTGATGAAATAGCAGCGCCCAACAAAACTTGATGGGTTTTACTTTTTCCAGGTAGACCACTCCTCCCTTCGGTTAATAATTACACGTGAGGAGGTACCAATTTATGGCAGGATGATATGGGCATAGTAGAAAAGACAAAGTAAATTTGATGTAATGTTCGTAAAATAGTTTTGTTTTGGGGTTTTTTTGGAAGTGTGCTCAACTGTATCCAGCAAAGAGGAGGAATTAATGGCTTCTTCTAACCAGTTATCCGTCCTTCCCGAGAGAAGCGGCCCTGACCTGTCGGGGACTGGCGAAGGAGGCGCGGTGTCGCTGTGGAGGAGCCCTCGTGCTGAGCCAGAGGCAAACCGGCATGGCCCTTCCTTCAGTTTCACAGATAGCGTCACTGCAGACCGACGTGACGTGACTCATGAGATCGATCTCTTGAGCGGACAGTTTCCTGACATCAGACTCGACGACAACAAGCCAGCGATACTGGATGCTCAATGACAACAACCGCAGGGCCCTGAACAGAGCTCTCCGGGGCGACACCAGCAGCGTTGCTATCTCCGAGTGGTGCCTGGCCGTTCTCCCCCCCGGGACCTCTGTTCTGCATCGCGGTGACCCTTGCTTGAGCCGTGTACTTTCTCAATAGCTGATCGCTGAGTTTTGAGTAGCTTTGCCCATACTTTGCTTTACCCGAGATCCCTGTCACCAGCCCATCTCCCCCAGGAAATCAGCTCTCCAGGCTGCATGGCTGGCTCCTCAGCCTCAGGTGTCTCACAAACCTCCACGTAGTTTCTTTCACCTTCCTCTTGTGACATTTGATCATCTGGTTTCCACGTCCCCCTCCTGCCTGAATTCTCTGAAAACGAGGAAACGCACAAAGCTTTTGGAACCAGCAATGGGCACAACCAAGGCTGTTTCCTTCTCCTTTTGTTTTCACCGACACCCAGTACCTGCCAACATGGAGCAACGTGCTGTCGGAGCCCCCCCGGCCATCTCCCCTGCACAGAAATTGCAGCTCCTCTACGGTCAGAATTGTCTTTGGCTTTTCCCGTTGAGGGTAAGTATGTTTAAACCTTTACGCTCTTGGAAATACATTGTGTTCTGTGTTTGCTCTCAGACAGGAAACCAATCAAATGTGCTTTGTCTTGGTTCCAGCTGTTTCCGAGAGCCATGCGAAGGCGAGCTCGGCCCCGGCTTGGCTGCCAAGGAGCAGCCTGTGAGCATGGGTGTGACGACACGGAGCCGGCGAAGGGCTTTGCTGCCTCGGAGACCGGTAGCTACTAGATAAGCCCAATCATAAAGAATAAACTTGCTGGATGAAGTGATTTCTTCTCTCTCCATACAGACCTTACCTGTTGAGCCGGGGAGGTCTAACAGCACGAGCTTGTGCTGGGCGCTGTGTGAGCAGAGGGATGGAGGGTGCGATCCCGGGGCTGCGGGGCATCGCCTCTCCGCAGGGCAGCTCCTGGCTGGCTTCCCACGCAAGGAAGTGCCCTGGGGACGCCATCGCAGGGGTTTTCCCACCAAACCTGCGCACGGGACGGGATTGCTCTCTGTGTAACTTTCCCTTCCCAGCGGAGGACAGATCTCCAGCAGCAATAGATCGAACTGCAAGGAAAACACTTCCTTTGTCCCCAGAAGCTGCCACGCCGCTGTGCGGGAGCAGCCTCCTGTGCTCAGAAAATGCAAACCAAGGCCCCATGCGCTGTGTTTTCTGGCCATCCAGAAGGAATCCTGTTTGGCTTCCTATTCAGATTCTAGAGGGTTTTTTTTTTGGTAGATGAAAAATCACCCGCAGCTGTTGCTGAGGGTTTGGAGAGACCAGGTGTAGCTGGAAAATGAAAGGGAAGGCAGGGCTGAGCCTCTTAATTTCAGCTCCAATAATGATAATGATTCAGCTTAAGCTTCATCAAAGAGGAGGGGGAGGCAGGCCGGAGAAGGCGGTTTGATCACCCGGCCGCCCAGCAGCCAAGTCAT